CTTCCCCCATGTGACATTTTGTGGCATTTTTAAAAACTCCCCCACCCCTGTGTGACGTGACAAAGACAAAAATTTGGAATTTTTACAAGTGTCTATTTAATTGTAACAGTTCATATTAAAAAAAAATTCAACTGACATGTTTCTGTTTAAGAAACATGTCCTAAATTTGTTCCCAAATTAGACTTTGACCTTCAAGTATTGGAGTTTCATGCTCTTCAATAATTATTGAAGGCCAGTTGAGATCAGAGGTATCAACATCGTCCTGATCATGCAATTCAATTGTTTCTTTATCTGAATTTAAATAGACACACATGAGATCAGATAGACGTTGAGCAACTAGGCGATGAGGTTTAACTTTTTGAATCTCATTTGATAATCCCAAACTGTTTTGTGCTGTTTCATTGATTTGATAGTGGTAAGATATAGGCTACAATTGGTACAAATTCTTTTTGGTAAGGAACTTTGAATGCTTGAACATGAGTAGTCGTATCGCAATCCTTTGGGAAACTTTCTTGTAATTGTCTTGGGAAAAATTGTTTTGCTTAGTGATAAGTTTAAAAAGAGGCTTGCAAAGTTATTCTTTGTATTACTGCACTCAAGGCCATTTTCTCCTTGGAACAAAGAAATTGGTGGAGGAAGAAAACTAGTTGGAATAAGATGGAACAGTGAGCTGCGACGATGACCACAGCAGTTTTGATCATTACATTTTACAACTTGAAGCAAGTATTGACTTTCTTTGATATGTTTAGCATCCCACTCTGCTCCAAACTGCTTTAATTGTACACGATTTTTACTGTTTGGTTCTTTGTACTCTGCAATAGTTTCAAATCCATCAATGACTCTGCTGGACCAAATTTGTGCAAGAACTTCGCCAGCTTTGGCAAAATTTATCTTCTCCATAAGTTTGTCTGTTGTTTCTCCTCTTGAATTAAGATGGCTTCCAAAATGATTAAATGGAAGTAAATTCCTGCAAGGTCATGGCTTAGCGGCGCCATTCTTATCTCTACCCTGTTAAAGGCACTTCTGCCAGGAGCATTAATTGCCACAAACATGCCATCAAGGTCATGCTCTTTGAAATAAGTCTTGGCACAATGAATTGTTTTTTCATATCTTGGATTTTCGTCTGGCCCACCATCAACAGTTATCATGACTGGTTTGCTAACTCCATCTTCAGTATATAAGCTGTTTTCAAATGCAGGAAGATGGTTGATTTTATTAATGTCTTCTAAGTGACTAAGTGCTGTTGATTAATCATGTTTTGCACTTCTGATTGCTATGTATGTTGGGTCAGAGTATGTGACTGCTTGTTTTTTCATGCAATCTTTTTTGATTTCTATGGCTGCAATTACTGAAGGAATAAGTTGAGGAGCAATTACAAAATCATGATCAGCTAAAGTCACCTTGTACTCCATATGCATCATGATTGGTGCTTGTTTGTTTGCAGCTGTCAATCCAATTGGCACCCTGGCTTTATCATCCTGGGAAAGAAACGTCACTTCTTTTGGACCCAAGACTGCAGCAAGTTCGTCAAGGGCACTGATGGATGATTTGGCAAATTTTGTGTCTGCATGATATTTATGCTTAGAATTTTGTGCTCTTATTAGTCTAACAGGTGCAGTTTTAACATGTCTCTCCTTCTGTGCTCAATGATCTGCTTGGAAGTAATCTTAAGTAAACTCCTGATCTGGAGAGATTGTAATCATGGTTTTTTAATTCTTCAACCAAGTCATCTAATGTTTTTACAGTTCGAACAATTTCAGTTCTTCTCCTATCATCAGAAGCAGAACCTTTCAAGGCAATATCTACAATCGTTTTAATTAAACTGTCCTGATCACAGGCTAGCGGTGGACCTTTTGATACTGCATTTTTAATACCACAACTTTTTTCTAATATCCAGATCTAAAGCTTCTATTGCTTTTTTTCTTTTTAGCCTGGTTGCTGTTTGACGTTCAGTGGCTTTTTGACGAAGTACAAGATCTCGGTTTTTTTCTATCAAAAGCTTTTGTTTTTGTCTTAATATATGGTGGTCCTCTTGTGACAACAAGTTGCAATTTCTTTTTTTAGTAAAATATGCGATATCTTTTTGTAAAAGAAAAATTTCATTCTTTAACTGATCTTGTTTTGGCGCAGGTCTTTTAAAACTTTTAACGAATTGGAGTTTTCTTGTAAGCCTTTTTCACTGTCTTCACTATTTGTAATTGATGGGGTTGCATCAGTCAAGTCATCAAAAGTGATTTTAGATTCAATCACAAGCTTTTTTGGTGTATAGTTTAGTAATTTTGTCCAGTAAGATAAAATACCAACTTTATTTCGAAGTTCAATTTGCTTTAGTTCTTTCAATTTTTTTTTCAACTTCTACATTTATATCGAGTAATGTTTTGCTCTTTGTTTTGATCTCAGACCAGATTTTATTTGTTTCTTCTTGAGGCTTTTGCTTTGGTTTATTTGCAAATGCTTTCAAATATCCTTCATATATAGATTTGTAAAGTTGTTCCTTTTCACTAGACATTTTTATTCCATAACAACAACGACAATAAATTTATTTTCCTAACAACCATTAATTAAAAACACATTGTGAATTAATGTTAACAATAGCATTATTAATACTAAAATTCGTTAACAATCTAACTAACTTAATGAATAATAAAATATAAATATAAAATAATAACGCAATAATAAAATAATAAAGTAATTAGACCAATTATTTGTAATAGAGTGACACAAAATATTAAAAGAAAATACTAATAATAACATTGAAAATAGAATAATAACATAACAAATAACACTTAACTTTTTAGTCTATTAATATAAATAGTGTTAAAAAAATAAAATATGATTTTTGATAGTAATATAAATCGTTTTTAGATACTTGCCCACTATCTAGTTCTATGTTCGTAGGATTAGAATTTTTTTTTATGCGTACAATCTCCACAAAAATAATTTCGTACAGAGTAAATATAAATTAATCAAATCCAATCATTTAACAAAAACAAAAATTTTTGTTAAATGAAAGTTAAACAAAAAACGCTCGCTATTCGTGAATTCGTTGCATATAATTTTTCTCGAAATCAGTATTATATATAAATACCTCCGAGTTTGCAATATAAATTAATTTAATTACGCAGTGATAAACATTTTAATTTAAAATGTTTTTTGTCACGTCACACTGAGGCAAACCACCCACTCCCCCATGTGACATTTAGTGACACTTTCTAATACTCCCTCCCCCCTCTTTAAGACTGTCACGTATTATTTCAACAGCCCCTTATCTTTGTCAGAAACGCTTTAACTTTATATGCAATGTTTTCTTTGACGTATATCAGAACTCCTCCACCGCGTTTATTTATTTGCCGTTCTAATGAAACCATGGCGTACTTTATAAAGTTATACGTTATAAAGTACGCCATGAATGAAACTAATTCAAAATTCTTAAGATGAAAATTAGAATTATTTTCTAGTTCGAAAGAAGAGCACCAAGTTTCCGTAATACATATAATATTTAAAATGTTTTCAGTTTCTTCTAGAAAATGTCGAAAATTTTCATTATTTTTGTTTAAACTCCTTATTTTAATGTGGAGGATTCTGATTCTTTCACTGTTTATATCATATACATTTTTAAAAATAAATTCTTTTATAGCGCTGGGGTAAGGATATAAGCTGTCCGTGTACATATCACGAAAAAAGTTTACATCTGGGTCTGCGTTTTTATCTGATATAAAGTATTTTTTGTTAAAATTATAGGTTAGCGACTGAAAGTCATTCATTTTTGTAATTATTTTTCATATGTACTGGTTTAAAGAATTTCTTTTTGTTATTATTAATCGCATATAAATATTTATTGTACATTTGTAGCGTTTAAACGCTGAAGCTCATTTCATTTAGAAACAAGAGATCTGTGGTAGTGACGGATCCAGCATTTTTCGGTGTTTGAAACTTCAAACATTTGTATGTTTATACTTATGTCAAATAATGATGCTTTTTAAAAAGTTGCAATGATTGGAGGCTGGAAACAAAAAAAGCCTTTAATTTTATCTCCCCTGCCCCAAACATGAGAGCAACAAGTTGATGAAATAAGTTTTTTGCTATTCTTAACTAAATTTATATTCATCGATAAATTTTATGTATGAAATTGGTAAACCCCTCAAATTGAGGGGGTTTAAACTCTTTATGGTCATAATTTATTAATGCTAAGAGATAATACTATGAAACTTAAAATTTATCGAAACTTAGTTAAGAGTAGCAAAAAATTTTTTTTACCAACCTGTTGCTCTTACGTTTGGGACAAGGAGAAAGAAAATTTAGGGCTTTTTTGTTCCCAGCCTTCAATCATTGCAATATTTGCAAAGCATCATTATTTGACGAAGTATAAACATAGAAATGTTTGGAGTTTGCGCCACGTCTGTTAGCAAATATCAAAAAATGCTGGATCTTTTTCTCTTTTTTAGATCTATATAAAGGTTTTTTCTTTTCAGCACACAAGAAAATTTATATCTTAAAATTTCGCTTTTATCTTTGTATATTTTAGCATTTAAAAAAAAAAAAAAAAAAAAAAAAAAAAAAAATTCATGTCCAGTTTAAATAACACTGAAGAGCCATCACCTAACATTTTTAGAAAATATTTTCAAAAAAGTTAAATGATGAAAAAAACAATAAATTTTTTTTTTTTTTTTTATCTATTTCTCTCTTAAGTTACTTTTATATCATAACTATTGCATGTAACAAATTTGCTTGATTTTTGTCATGTAGTTGAATAATAAGTCGTGGTATTCTAATGTGGCATTTCGTTAAAATGTTTGTTATTATTAAATGGTAACAAACATTTTAACGTGCACTTTAAATTTAATGTTAAAAAAAAACAAACTGCAAAAAGACCTGAGTACATAAACACTTCCCCCTTTCGAGAAAAGCGGTAAATTTTCTTAAAATACACACCCTCCGCTTAATATGTACCCGGTACTGGCAAAACTTTTAAATCATTGTTCATATAAAAAAAACTAAAATAAAATAAGAGTCAGTTCATATTTATAATAATTAAACGTACGAGCGAGGCTAGATGTAAAATACCAACAGTCTGCTAGAAAATAATGGACTCAATGCAAATATGAGATTGATCGTCGAATATCACACATATTTAGAAAACTTATGCCAAGAATCCAAATGCGTCATGTGCCCAATCGTTGAATACGTTGAATCGTTGAATAAATGATTCGCTAAGCATATTAGTAATCTTTTACTTTACTCCAAACTTTAATGCTCTTTTTTGCATACGCAACTAAAACAAACAAACTTAAATACATTCAATAAAATAAATAAAACCTTCAGATGGTTTCCCAACCAAAAAAAAAAATGAATTACTTCTTACTTAATTCTTTTAATTAGAATTCTTATAAATTTTTAGATATTTAAGTTTAGGTATACAATCAAATAAGTCCTTGGCAATGCCATAGTTATCGTTTTAAAATCAACATATGCCTTAGATGTCAATATAAAAACTCATTGGTAAACTTACTTTATGTAAGGTCTTTGATTTACAATTTTAAATTTTAGAAATTGTATCTTCATCTGTTATGTAAAATACAAATTAATTTTGAATTTTATTTTGAGTTATATCAACATGTTATACTAAATTGCGCTTCCTATAGTAAATTTGTTTTGGTATTAAAATAAATTGACTTTATTATTATTTATTATATATTTACTAAAATTAATTATTATTTGATATGTTGACTATACAAAATATGTAACTGATAATTCTATTGTTATTAAATTAAAAAACCAAACTAATGCTAAAGCTAAAGATGTTAGCTTGGTTGACTAATTCATCATGACGAGCATTCATCTATAATGATGAACATTCATCTATAATGGCATATGTGCATAATAAGAATTTTATTACTGATTTACAGATAAACAGCTAATGTAATGTAGTTTGATTGTAAATGAAATAAGCAATTTTTTATTATTTATGGCTATAGATAACATTAATATGTTAACAATACAATTCATACCGTTGTGCATACAGAAACATGTATAGAAACATCGATAGCCTTATCAGGAAACGGAAAACAGAAAAGTATAACAAGTATTAAATTATTGCAGAATTAAAAAATCAATTAAAAAAAAGTATTGCACTATTAAAAAAATCAATTTTGGCAATATTATGGCATTGCACTGACTGATGATTATTGAATTGCTAATATTGCTCAGTGAGTGCTATAAATTGATGCAAGTACAAGAACCCTACGTGCTGTATAAACTAAACCATGTGTGCCGCATAAACTAAATAATATGTGCCGTATAAACTAAATATAAATTAGAATCAAAATACTGTATGTAAAGAGAACTGTAAAATTTTACTAAAAATAAAGTTTTGAATAAAGCTCTAAAGATATTAGGTTATAGCGAACAGTGGTTTGCTATAACTTTAACAAAATACCTATCAACATTTTTTTGAAAACAATAGATTATATGCTACAAAGGATTTTTTTTACAAAAAAAATATTTATAACTAAAAATAAAAGATTTTACCTCCGGGTCAGAGGTATTTGTATTAATAACACCAAAGCGTTCTTGTCTTTTTTTTATTTGGACATCAGCAAAACGATCTTTGCGTTGTGAAAGCTTTTTGACAGGATCAATCTAGATGTAAACAATCTTTTAAATTATTATTTATATTTCTTGCTTTTTTTTTAATCATTCTTTGTAAAAAGCTAAATGGTGAGCAGTCTGTCGCAGTTCCGGGATATGGAATGGCATATTTACATTCTTATACTTATACTTAAATAAAGATAAATATAATTATATTTATCTTTATTTAATTATTTAAATATACAAAATCATTTTTATCATTTTGAATCAAAAATTCAAAAAAAAAAAAAAAGAAAAAAAAAAGGAAATCTTGTATATTTTGTAACAGGTAGTCTAAAATAAAGTGATTAGTTTACTTACATGTTGCATAAAAAGGCTGTTTTAAAATGTAAATACCGTTGTTATTTATTATTAATTAATGATTAAATAATACTTAAAAAAACCACAAATAGTTTACAAATACAATTACTTTTTCCATATGCTATATTTTGCATCTCATAACTTATGTTTTGCATAAAGTGGCAAAAAGTTATAAATCAGAAAGATTAACAAGGGCTTAATGCCTTATGAATGTGCTGGTTAGAAAAATGTTAGGTTAAAATATTTTCTAATTCTCGGAATTAGAAAAATAACGTTAGAAAGTTATTGCCAAATATAAATATTAAAAATTAATATTGATTTTATTACTTTTCATTATATTTGTCTTGTGTAATATGCTCTTTATCTTTGAGGAACACTTAAAGGAACACTATATTTTGGCGTCTAATTTGAAAATGAACCATGTAATTATAAATTTTTTTTAATTGTATAAAAAAAATTTTATAAATTTTTTTAAATAAAAAAAACCTTTTTTTTAAAAAAAAGGTTTTTTTTATTTAAAAAAATTTAAAATTAAATATGTAATTATAAATTTTTTTTAAATAAAAAAAACCTTTTTTTTAAAAAAAAGGTTTTTTTTATTTAAAAAAATTTATATATATATATATATATATAATATATATATATATATATATATATATAAAATATATATATATATATATATATATATATATATATATATATATATATATATATATACTAAGTGAAATTGACATATATAATATTAAGTATTACATATATAATATTAAGTAAAAGTGTCAATTTTACTTAATATATATATATATATATATATATATATATATATATATATATATATATATATATATATATATATATATATATATATATATATATATATATATATATATATATATATATATATATATATATATTAAGTAAAATTGACACTTTTTATTTCTTATAAATAGGACGCTACTAAAATCATACAGAATGTTATCATACAGAAAAATAATTATCTATGTAGTAGTGTTTCAGTTAAAATATTTTTTTTTAGAAAAATTTATTCAAAAACATTATTCAAAATGGCAACAAAACAGCAACAAGTGCGTGATGCAATTTTGCACGAAAATTATTTTAAAACTTTTTACTTGAAACATTTTTTTAAACTAATTTTCCTGCACAAGTTGTGCAGGAAAATTATACATATTGTGTAGAAAAAAAAAAAGTTAAATTATGGATGATGAAACTTATGTGAAATTAAATTTCAAAACGATTCCAGGACATCATTTTTATATGGGAGTCTCCAGGAAAAAGATAAAGGCTAAATTTAAAACAATAAAACTAAAAAAATTAAGGTTTGACAAGCCATATGTTAATGTGAATTAAAAACACAAAGTTTCGTCACTAATTACACAATAAATAGTGAAATCTATCAAAAAGAGTGCCTTAAAAAGTGCTTATTGTCACTATGGAATGCCCACGATGGTAATGCAGTTTTTTGACCTGACCTAGCATCTTGTCATTACTCCAAATCTATGTTAAACTTCTACAATGCCAATAGTATCAATTTTATACCTAGAACACACAATCCTGCAACTTCATCCAATTGAGCAATATTGGGCGATTATTAAATCCAAATTACATATACTTTTTTAAATTGCTCTAAATTTGAAAACTTATAATCGTTAAGATTACCTAACATGTAAGACCATACAAAATAATCAAGTGGATTGCAGTCTGGTGAGCTTGGAGGCTATTCTTCTGCGTTTGAAAAATCACTCAAATTTTCCTTGCATCAAACCTGAGTAATGTTAGCCGTATGAGAAAGGGCTCCATCTTGTTGGAAGCAGTAGTAATCTTCTCCATACAATTTTTTGGTGTTCGGAAGCACGTTTTTCTCCATCACTTTTTTCACATAGTATTTTGCGTTAATTTTTACACCTTTTTCGTAGAAAACCAAGGGCAATTGACCTCTTGGACAGATTGCACCCTAAACCATTACAGAGGCTGCATTTTGGAATCTTGGAACATGTCTTTTGTTGTCTGGGATGTCCTCAATTGAAACAGGCCAGTTTCTGTCGTTTTGGGGGTTGTGAGATTGTTGCAAAATGAAAAGTTTTTCATCAGAAAATATAATTTCATTACCTCCGTGCCAGGCCCAAATGTTTTTTGCTCTTTTGACGCGTTTACGTTTTGATAGTTTAAAAACTCCATGAACTTTTTGAAAAAAACTTCAAATCCTTTTTTAAAATAATTTGCACTGTTTTACAGTTCATTCCGAGATCTTTTGCTACTTTCCTGGTAGATCGAGCAGAATCTCGTTGAATTTGTTCTCTGATCGCTTTGATGGCTGCTAGAGTACTTACAGAGTGTTTGCACCCCGATTATGGGCGGTCAGTGGTAGTACCCATTTCCTGGAAGCGTTTAACGGTACGATTAACCATATTTCTGGTGACTCCATCACTTTTCAGGGCTCTGAAAATGTCCCCACGAGATTTTCCTTTTTTAAATTTTTCGATAACTATTTCTCTATACACTTTCATAGCTAGAAATATTATTTCTATTAATTTAAATTACAAAATCGATTTGCATTTTACAATTGGATAAAATACCGGTACTTTTAAATATTTTTTTGATGATGAAAATAATGGGAAAATGTTAACACAAGGTTGTACCGGAATATATTTGTCACTGTGTATATATATTGTAAATAATATAATATTGTAAATTATGTTTTGAGCTCCATGTTGGTGTTTATTAAATAGGTATTTAACTATTATTAAGCAGATTTTATTTAGCAAATGTAAAAACTAATATAACAACCCCATTCTTTGTAAAACGGTGAATGGTGAGCAGTCCTTACATAGTCCCAGGATATGGAATGTCATAAGGACCGTAATGCTAATCGAAAAAACATTTATGCACTTGGGCAAACGTTCTGGTAGAATAAAAGCGATAACATTGCAAGTTAACATGGTGAAGAAATGAGCACTATTATTTCATGATTGTGATCAGCTACCTAGAGATGTAGGTGGTATGATAATTTTGGAAGAACCCTAAAATATCTTTCACAATTAAGAAAGTGTAGCAACAATTAAATCTGATGAAGAAGATAGACAGAAAATAAGAAAAAAACTTTAATATGTATAAACACTTTGATCATTGAAGATCATGGTATTGTATACATAGTTATGGTATATGGGCATAGTCATCGCACCATCATAGTTACAGTTATAGTCGCCGTTATGGTATATAGTCATAGTCATCACACTGTCATGGTATTGTATACATAGCAGCTGTATAGAAACACAAAAGTAAATGTAGATGATGTTGTATGCCCCAGAAGTAAGCAATAACAAAAATTTGAGGATTCACTGTCAAAAGGATTTTATGCTCCATCAAAAATTATAGTTGTCACTTTTTCAAATAACAAGAAACAATGTTACTATAAAAAAACTGTCTGTAACGCAGAGGCTACCTATACATGTGCTTTACAACTGATGTTATATCCTAATGTTAAAATAGTTGAAATATGCATCAAGAATTGTCACCAGTTTGATGAGTCAACATTAGTTGATGAATTTGGGAATGTGAATTTCTCCTTCCAAAAACCTCAATTTATGAGCAAAAACTTACAACACTGATTTTCACACAAGTTGATTATTACTGGTACCGAAATAATCCTGACTGAATTACAAACTCTTGGCATTGTAGTCCCTCATCCAGATTAGGAGACTCACCATCACGAAGCAGATATAATAATCAAACAGGTTATTTATCTGTCAAGGTGTGCTATATCAAGACTTAATTTAATGACACCGATGTTTTTGTTTTACTTGTACTCTTTTACAGAAGGATGAAGTCTGGTGACAAGGTCTCTCAGATATAGCAGCAGTTCATAATTCAGGAATCCAAACAAACTCATTATTTGCAGTACATTATTAAAACATTAAAATAAATGTTTAAAGTGAAAACTTTAGATTTCATCAAGAATATTTTCTTTCTGACTAAAAACAATGGCAAAGATTATTTACTGAGATGAAAGTTTCCAAAGCATTTAATATTCCTTAAAGTCATATATAATAGCAAAATAAAGTCTTATATAAAAAAAAACTAAATGAAAAAAAAAAAAAAAAACTAAAAAAAAAAAAAAAAAAAAAACTAAAAAAAAAAAAAAAAAAAAAAAAAACTAAATAAAAATCAAGTAATATCTTTAATACCACAGTGTCAACAGAAGTACCAAATCGTTCAGCTCGTTTAGATATTCTGTCATTACCAGCCTAGTAAATTTATTCTTTATTAAAACTTTTAAAACTATTTTATATATAATTAATCATTGTCATAAATTAATTATTTGAAATCGATCACAAATAATTAAACATACGGTTGAAAGCTTTTGCTTGTTATTTCCAGTAATTCCAGTATCACCAAACCTATAGATTTGAATAGCAAATATATTAAGATAAATTTTTGCAATGAAAAAGGACAAAAGAACTTGTAAGCAATATATTACTGCCGTGGTACACTGGTTACAGCATTGAAGTTGTAATTCAAATGCACTTTGAACCTTGATCAAAGCACATAATTGGTACGAGTTAGACTGGAAATGGGAAACCAACACATTAAATGTTAATCCCCATGTTGCGGTGTTATGTGAGAGGACTATTTCCAGTGCATACAAGATACAAGATAGTGTATACAAGACATGTTTTAAACATCTAAAAATTATATTTAAAACTTTAATTTTTAAAACATTTTTTAGTTGTTTAAAACATATCTTGTGTTTACTGAGTGTTTTTAGAAAAAAATTATATATATAATAGCTATTTTGAACTTAAAAACAAAAGCGATTTAATAAAACAAAACAAAAAAACATTAAAAAATACTTTTGAAGCCTTGCTTTTTTTCTTTCGTCCAAGCTAACAGCTGCACCAAACCTTTTTGTACGATTAGCTTTCTTCTAAATTAATACATATATATATATATATATATATATATATATATATATATATATATATATATATATATATATATATATATATATATATATATATATATATATATATATATATATATATCAAATTTCTTTATCAAGCATTATAAATAGATTTTAAGAGCATTTTTTATGGAACAACAATTACTTTGTAACCTTTATGTTTTTAAAAATTTATAATTGTTATTTTAAACTAATGATAAACTATGATAGGTTCAAAACCCTTTAAGTTAAAAGGATAGTTGGAGGATAGTTGGAAAGGTCAGAGTGTTTTCTTGAGTTTTTATCCAATTGAAACCACTTAATTAGCAATTAAGTGGTTTCGAGAGAATTGAAAAGACTTTTTTAAGACTTTGATAAGAATGTTGTCTGGATCACAAGCCGTAACAGACATGACAGAAATGATGTCTGGATCATAAGCGGTAGAAAAGTTTAATTGAGAACTGACTTAAGCATCGGAAACCAGAGTGATTTGGATGTCTAACAATTGGTTAATCTGTTTAACTGGAATGGCAAGAAGAGTATGACCATTAGATTCAATAGTCTAATTAGAGCCAAAGTTCTTTGCAAATAAATCTGTTTTATCCTAAAGAAAGACAATAAGATTAGACTTATGAGTTAGGGATGAAATGTTAGATTTACCTTAGTTAATGATACTGTTGAAGATGTTCTAAAAGTCTCTGAAACCTATGATCTGAGATAAGTTACAAGACTTAGGAAATTGAGAATAACAGCTTAGCATCAGACAAGATCTTTTTAAATTGATTTCTTGCAATAATAAAGACGTTTTCAAGAGGGATTTTCTTGTGAAAAAGAAAAAAATGATTACAATTTAATATAGCAAAGGCACAAGAAAATGCAAAACTATGGAGTGAAATAAGATGTCTCTAACAAGACAAGAAAAAAAGCTGTTATCTTAGACAGAGATTAGAAATAGCGAGTATATCAAATATTTTTCAGAAAAGATCATCATCATTATATGATAATGATAATGATGATATATATATATATATACATATATATATATATATATATATATATATATATATATATATATATATATATATATATATTATATATATAATATATAATATATATTATATATTATATATATAATATATATATATATATATATATATATATATATATATATATATATATATATATATATATATATATATATATATATATATATATATATAAATATATATATATATATATATATATATATATATATATATATATATATATATATATATATATATATATATATATATATATCACAACCTGGCCCCAGCCCCAGCTATAATTTATTGATTTGCTTCTTATTTTGGAGTTTAGGGTTGAGAGTTGTAAATAAAAAAAAAAACTTAAAAAAAATCTTTCTCAACTGCAGTGGATGTGAATTTAATAAAAATATATGTATTGATACTTAAACATATTGATAGATAAATATATTGATAACTAATAAATATACCAATTGATAGATATATATTTATAGTTATTTAAATAAATACTTAATTTATCAGTGAATACAGAAAAATTTATTTTAATTAAATACTTCGTCCTCAGCAGCCATTGGTGACATTATTTTTGGTTTTGCTTCTTTAATTTTGGCTAAACTATGATAAAAGAGAAAAAAATTAAAATTAAAATTTTTCCTTATATTATAAAAAGTTTTAAACTGCATAATTGACATAATAAAATGTAAAATAATATATATTATTAATTGAATTTGTTAAAAATGAAAAGTAAAAAGTTATTAAATGAAGAATTACGTTTATTCTATTTTACATTGTAATAAGGTATAAAAGGGAATATTGTGACAAAATATTATGATAAAATATTATGATAAAATATTGCTGCAAAATGTAACCCTAACAACTACACAATTTGACACAAAAAGTTTTTAAATTAATCACACTAGATTTGTGTAAAATTTAAAAGGTTCATTTTTTATACTTCAAGTATATAGTAAGTAAAGAAAATCTACCTTACTTTAAGTAAGCAATAAGTAAAGAAAATCAAGTAAACCTTCAACAACTTTAAGTAAAAAAAAAAGAAGATTTACATTTCATAAATTTTATTAAAAAAAACTATAAATTACAAAATTATAGATTATACAAATTTATAGATTTATAAATTTTATTAAAAAAAAATTTATAAATTAATTCAAGAAAATGCAAAATTGCAACTACTGCGTTTGAGCTTAATTCAAAGATGAAATACAAATTATTGAAATGAAGTATCATCCCTAATTACCAGAACCATTTAACAAATGTTAATTAATAGTAGTGATTAGGAATGTTACTAGCAGTTAGAAAGTAATACTAGCGATTAAGGATAATGGATGTGATGCTCATGATGATTATAGATGATACACATGATTAGGAATGTTAAAGTTAGGAGTGCTTACTTGTAATTAAAAATGATATAACTGGTTTAGATGAATTATTAATAGCTTACTTGATGCATAATAAATTCTTCAATTTTTAAAATATAACTTTTACAAAATAATTAGAAAGAAACTGTTGCTTTTTTCTCTTTGATCACTCATCTTTAAACATGTTTTGTTTTAGCTTTCTTATTTCTCTATCAAAGATAATGAAAATAGTTTGGCTGAAATTGTTGAATGTTTCTGAAGAGTTGAATAAATTGAAAAAAATATTTTACCAACAGCTGTTATTGAAAGTGATAAGCAACCCACTAAACAACCCACTAAGCAACCCACTAAATAAGACAAAAATGAAAAAAAAGAAAAAGCAAAAATGTACACAAGCAAAAATTACTTTGTTTTATATACTATACTGTGATATAAAATATGTTATTGTATCCATGTAGGAATATAGAACATTGTATTACATCGAAGTAGAAGTGCCAAATATTGTATAATTTTTTAAATTATACTATTTTATACAAAAAATTAAAAAACATACTTGACAACTACAGGTTTTTTTTGAATACTTTCTGTTTTTAAAACATTTGATTTATTTGCTTTGGTTTGAATGACATCATTTAATTCCATTGTTTCACTTAACTAAAACAACAAATCAATTGCTTCACTTAACTTAAACATAATTACAATACAGATAGGCAATAGTTTGTGCAAACATAGTAACAAAAAATTATTCTAAAACATATTTTATTCTAAAATTTATAAAATTCTTTAAACAACAATTCTTGCTGACTAAAATATTTACCACGTTAACATACTTACCTATCTACCCATCCATTGAGAAGAAACAAATATGTAACAGTGCTAATGTATTTCATTAAGAAGAAACAACTTTTCTTATTTAAACTTTTTTTTTCTCCATGTAAATATCCATGGAAATTAGAGTTGGCAAAAAAACCCAACCCAAAAAAACCCACCTTAAAAAAACCCAATAAAACCCAAAAAAAAACAAAATATATTTGTTTTTTTTTTTAAATGTCCTACTCTACAACTGATAATTCTGATTTTAACACTTATATATGCTCTATTATCAGCAAGTGCAACTTTTATGCTGTGATTACTCTTGTAAACACTGTATTTATATCTAAATTGGTATTTAGAATATATCCAAAACCAATCAATCTGTTTTTGTAGCAAGTTGGTTATCTATTATTTTTTTTAAACATATAGCAAGTTATTATAAATATTATTGAAATATGTATTAAAAAATTAAATTAGTTAAATACTTGTAAAGGAAATAAAAATAATTCTATTAACTAAATTTCAAAGCACAAGACATTACTAGTTATTTAGTATCTTTATTCTCCTTCTGAATGTCAATATTTCTTAACAAGCGTTCTATATATATCATTTTGTATTGGTATTTGATCTTTTATTTTTTAAAAGCTTATGTTGTAAAATGTGAATTTCAGTACAAAACCACAAGCAAAATACTATATATAAAAATCGTTAAACTTTATTCACAGTCTAGAAATGGAAAGTTGTCAGGCAAAAGAAAAAAAAAAAAATGTTACAGTTTACTAGACTTTTCATTATTAAGTGCTTACAACTTTAAAACATAAAACAAAATTATGTTATGTGCAAGGAAGTTTCATTCAATGAGAGAAAATGTTGAAAACTTGTATACAGTTTACAAGGACAAGATTTGTTGGTAAAAATGATACTCATACTCATCTGTCTATTTTACAGGTTTTGAATATTTTGCATCAGCTACAAGTTTACAACATGTACCGTCAACAGGGGTCATTATGAACAGCGGGTTGAAAATGAACATCAGTACCAAGTTTGCTAAAAGGTGAAAAAACACACGCAATAGAGCTATATATTGTGTTACTTTGATTCAGTTGCAAAACTGGGCTGGTAAAACATCTTTAAGTAAAAAAAAAGAATCTGGTGGTGAAGACACTGTAATGGTTATTAACAAATTCATTTTAGATATTTCAAGATTAATCAAAGCTTAGAAAAAACCCATTTGCAAAACAAATCTCTCCATAATCTAAAAAATAAAACATTAAGTGTCAATATCATCACGAATTGGCTAATCATTACTCTCTAATCTTAAACATTTGGATATAATTGTTAAATTATTTTATGTAATTTTGTATAAAGAAATATTTTAAATATTGGTTACATTATTTAAGTTCTAAATATCCATGTTAGATTAGCTGAACTTCCTGTTTTTGATCATTCTTATGAAGATTGTCAATTGATGATGGAAGCCCAAAAACTTGGCTTACTGATGGAAGCTAATCTTACTATTTTAAAAATACTAATATGATCATATAAAGTAAGAAAATAAAGATAATTACTGCATAATGTTGATCAGGCCGGTCACTTTTCCAGGAACCTGGACAGTATAATGTTCTGTTAAAAAAAAATGTAGTGATGTAAAATGTAACAGTTTTCTTCTATGATGCAAAAAAGTTTAAAAAGTGTTTATAGTCATCCTGATTGACAATAATTTACAAGGTTCCAACTAGTTTGCAACATTTATATTGTCTTTCTAACTTTGAATAACTCAATTGTCATAATAATTTTTTTAGTGATTTTTTTTTGGTCAAAAATAATCTGAACATGTTTTTAATTTAGTGCAATTAATTAATATCATTTATAGTTAATGGAGTCCCTTTTTGCACTATAGATATAATGTGCTGGTAGACTAGTGGTAAAACATTTGGCTCGCAATCAGAAGGTTGTGGTTCAAATTACCTCTGCTAATATCACTGCGCTCAATCTATTTCTCTGCACAGCGCCTTTGTTTAAAAATATTAATTGTTAATGTTGTTTGTTAGTAAAAATGGTAATGTTAAGGATTGAGACAAAACATTTTTTAAAAATGAATTGCTCCCTTGACTAAATTGGTCACTGGAGCAATAGGGAGGTGAATTTATGAAATTTAAAAAAAAAATTAACGTACACATACAATGATAAAAATTTGGTATTTTGATCGGTTTTTAAAAAAAATTCAAAAAACCCATTAAACCTCAAAAAAAACCATTTGGGTTGGGTTTTTTTTAAAAACTCAGGGTTTTTTCCAACCCTGATGGAAATAGATCTATTTTTTATAAAACATTTAACTAAGAAATTTTAATAACACTACCATTTTTTGAAACTCAAAAATTCAAAATACAATTATTTTTTTCTTACAACCATAAAGACCAAAATTAATTTTCTAAAAAATGATGTTTATTTTTTATTTGAAAAATAATCTTTATTATGAGATATAAAGGAGTTACTAATTATCAACAAAACATACACAAAATTTTAAAAGGTAGTTTAATATGTGATTTTATAAATGAAAACTATTATCCATTCATTATTTCTTAATAGAAACCATTTATTCTTAATATGCCAAATAATACTTATATGTCAAAGTTTTTAAGTAATATTGGGCCTAGCCCATAAGGGTTAGAGTTATGGTCATCGAGCGCAACTATTTTCCAAATCACTATTACTGTCACCACAGAAGATGTTAAAAGATCCAACAAAAAGTATAGCAAGAGATGTTAACAATCTTATTGACTATATGGCTCTTCATAATATGATTGATAAAAAACATCAGAGTTCCTATGTCCAAAACATCCCTTCCAACAACACCGCCCAAAAACACCCCTGTTTTATGGCCTTCCCAAAATTCATAAGATAAGCATTCCCTTAAGACCAATTGTTTCTGGTTGTGACAAACCAATCAACAACTTATCGTTCTTTATCACAGAATTTATTCAGCCAGTTGCTGAACAATTACCAGCATACTATAAAGACACAAAACATTTCCTTAAACTCATTTAATCTCGTGTACTAGAAACCAACAATTACATCCTTGTTACGACTGATATTATATCTTTGTATACAAACATTCCTCACCACGAAGGTATTGACACAGTGAAATTTTATTTAAAAAGAGCACCACCATATAACGGACCCATAAAACGCCCACCTATTGCTTTTATTGATATTATAATAAAACCATCCTAACCCACAGCAACTTTCAATTTTCGACTGATCACTTTTTACAATTAATAGGAACAACCATGGGAACACATATGGCCCGCCCCGCTAATTTATTTATGGGAAGAATTGTAAGAAATTAACTGACCAATTTTCAATGTTGAATACTTTTTATAAACAATTTATAGATGATATATTTTTTATTTTTTATGGGCCTCCGGAGAAACTAACACAAATTTTCAAATTTATGAATGCCATCATTCTACCAATTCTATTAACTCTATTAAGCTTTTTTTAATTTTCACATGGACAGTTTTCGTCTTTTATTATTATTCAGAAAGTTTCTTATATCCTTCATTACATGTTTAAATCTTTAAATTTTTGCAGGCAATATTTTTTTCTACTATCATATATTACTTGATTTTTCGGCGAACTTACATGCCAAAGTTTTTAAGTAATATGTGATTTTATAAATGGAAACCATTATCCATTCATTATTTTTTAATAGAAACTATTTTTAACAATAATTCCAAAATTTGAATATTAAGAATAAATAAAATTTATTTAATAGATTAAAAAATGTGTTTTAATTTTAAAAGAATCTTTAAACACAATTTGTGCTATTTATTGACTAACAACTTACAGCTTCTGCACTTCACTTTTTCAGCTCGCAGTTTTTTTTTTACAATATAAAATAACATACTAAATGGAGCACAACAAACATTTTCTTTCAAGAAAAACTTTGTGATTAAAAAATTTCAAAAAAATTATTTTAATTTTTTGTAATTTTAAATGAGAAATAAGAATGTTTATATATTGTACTGCACTTAATCAAAGAATTAGTTTTTAAATGATATCCACGTGCAGAACATCATTTAAAAGCTTATTCTAAAAAACTAACTTTTATACGATGTCCTGCACGTAATCAAAAAATTAATTTTTAAATGATGCACATAATCAAGAAACCAACTTTTTACGATGTCCTGCACTTAATCAAAAAGTTTTGAAAGTTTCAAAAAAAAAATCTAACTGGCAAACTTCTAAATGACTATTAAACATTAGACTAACTTAACAAGAATCTCATGTTAAAAGCAAATTTGTTAACTATTGACTATTATTATAGCTTTCAAAATTAAGAAAATGAAGTTTTTTTTTAAAAAAAAAAAAAAAAAAAAACAGGAGGTAGAAGGTAGGCTTATATATATATATATATATATATATATATATATATATATATATATATATATATATATATATATATATATATATATATATATATATATATATATATATATATATATATATATATATATATATATATATATATATATATATATATATATATATATATATATATATATATATATATAATATAAAAAAACAGGTAAAAAAGTGGCTTTATTTAAAAGAAATTTGAATTTAAATTTAAATTTGAAAAAAAGAAAAAAAAAGAAATATTATTGGTTTAAAAAAAAACAATTTTAAAGAATATTTAAAAAGAACTAACTGATATTTGGACATATTTTCAATACTTTTAAGTTTATATGTAAACTTTCATTTTAATATTTTTATTAGTCTTCTTAATGTAATAATCTTTTTATATTATTATACTGTCTTCTTATTGTGATAACTTT